ATGAAACATACAGAGCAAAAAACTAAATAGAGGCCAATAGACTAGCAAAACCTATACTAGTTCCTTCTTTTTAGGCTCAAGTATAGGAGGGTCGACATCAATACCCATATTAGCTGCAGTGCCTGCTATAATTCTCATAGCTGACTCCAAACTCGAACAATTCAAGTCAGGCAGTTTTTCCTGTGCAATTGTTCGGAGTTGGTCGATTGTCACCTTCCCTACTTTTTCCTGCTTAGGGTCTTTTGAACCTTTCTCCACACCTGTTGATATTGGAAAGGAAGAAAGATAAAAGCAAAATATCCATTGGTTGCTATTGGAGTTATAGATTCGGGGGAAGGTGTGCGGTTAAATAGAGGTGAACTAGGCTTATAAACTAGGCCCATTTTCTCTATTTATTCAATGTGGGACAACTCACAAGTGATGTTCCAACAGTTGTAATCTTCACTTTCAACATAATACAAAATAACTATCTGTGGACCCCGAACTATGTAAGATTCTAGTACAAAAGGCTACACAATACAAATTCAATCTCGAAAACGTAGTCTTCGTAAATTTATTCTGACTGTACTATAATGTTGGTTGAAGTTTAACAGTCGTGAGAATGGGATTTACATGAAGCGATCCACTAGGCTATATTAGTCACGTGTACTCAAAAGTGGCAGAGAAATCATACTTTAAAAAGAAATAATAATAATAAGAAAAAAGAAAGAAAAAACTGTATTACTTGATCTTGCGTAGACTAAATAAGCATTTTCTTCAACAAGCCCAAAAGGTTAGTTTTGTATATCTGTTCTATTCCCCAAAATCATGATTAGAAAGTTTACTAGATTGGCGCTGCTTGTTATATTCAAGTGAAGCTAATTTATCGTAACCAGAGCCAAGAAAATATTTACACATGATTCAAATGTCAAAGTGCGAAATATGTTTACAGAGAGTTATCTTGAGTATCATGATCAAATGAATGAAATAGTCGTATGGGAACTTCTTAGATAGGCTCAGTGTGCATCAAACAGAGTCAAAGTTCAATCTTCTTTCTTTCTTCTAATGTGTGTGTCAAGGTTACAATATGGATGTAACCAATTTTGAGAACACCGAAATCATCATGGAAGAGGGAAAAAAATACATAAAGCACTTTAAAACATAACAACTGGGTATAGGAATTATGCAACAAATCATATTGCTCAACCATATTTCGAAAGAGAAAAGAAAGATAAAACACAGAATATTTTGGGAGTAACATAGATAGAAAAATAAAGTTAAATGTAAGATCCTAGTTGTGGTCATTACATTCATCAAACTTCGGGTGAGAAGTATACCAATACAAAACCATGTAGCCCAAACCAATCTCTTTTTACGTTGCTCGACTTGCTCATCTTGAACTTATTTACACTGCTAACAGATTCACTCATTGTGGGAGTTTTGACCTAAAAGTTCTTACTTTATCATGAGAAACAGGAATATTTGACAACAATCATCGAAAAGAACCACCAAGATAGCTCTACTCTCATCCACTATGCCGTAAAGCAGCTATATAAAGTTTATGACATATCGACAGGTTGGAATTCTAAATTAGTGAACGAACAAACAAGCAACAAACAAACGGAGACCAGCATAAACACATATGCTGTGTTAGTGTAACCTAATTCTCTAAGACTTGCTGTCTTGCAAGTTTGTCATCTATCATATTTTAGAACCCTATACATTTTGCAGAGTGTCTACTATGCTGTTCCAGGCCTAATTTCTCAAGAAGAAGAAAAAGAAGCTTGGCATCAAATTCGAACGAGGCACTGGTTTATGAAGCTTGGCAAGAAAGCAGGATTCAGGAAGACATGCTGCCGCATAATTTCAAAAGGAAATATCATAAAACATTTATAATATAGTTGGATGATTCTGCTAATTTTCCTCGAGTTTATTTTGTTCTTCCCTGAATTGTTTTTGTACTATGCTTTTGGGAGCGTTACACGTTATAGCTCATATTCGAGTCAAAGGCTTACATTTCTCTATCAATAAACATGATGCAATTATCTACCTCAAACAATTCAACCCTTCATTTTTTGAAACAAATACCCTTAACATTATTTGACACAAAAGGATCTATACAGCACTGGTAGTGTCAATATTCTTGCTTCGATTATTTCTTTTAGATTAGACAACAAAGCAAAAGTTATTAAAAACTCAGTTTGAGTCAAATATCGATAAATTCTCGTTTGTTATAGTCCGGTTTCCATCTCTTTCCTGGTTTGAAACTATATAATAAACTAACAACAAATAAGTAGGAATGACAAATGAGAGAGTGGGAAACAGGGGAAGACTGACCAGCAGCTTTCATCAGCAAAACAGAAGCAGGTGGAGTCTTCAAGATAAAAGTAAAGCTTCTATCCTGCAAAATTATCAAAAACACCAACTGATCAAAATTCACCAGCAGCAAAAGCCAGAATAGCTTCAAGGGCTTATGAAACTCACATCGTAAACCGTAACTTCAACTGGAATGACGTAGCCAGCCTTATCGGCAGTGCGTGCATTGTAGTCCTTGCAGAATGCCGCTATATTCACACCCTTGGCACCCAATGCGGGGCCCACCGGCGGCGCAGGAGTAGCCTTCCCGGCGTCCAGAGCCAACTTCACTACCGCAACCACTGCAATTTTTGGGAAGAAAATAATAAAAATAAAATAAAATAATTAAAAATGCAAACAAAGATAAATGTCCTGCGTGGAAGATTAACCCCAAGTATTCGGAAAAGTAAAAAGGAAAACTTAAAAAATAATACCTTTTTTGGGTTTTCCACCGGGTTTAGGGGGAGCCATGGCAAAGACTGTAAGAGTGCGTGGTGAGGTAGTAAGGGGCAGCGTTTGCTTTCTGTTCAGGAACTGTAGAGAGAGTGTTTGGTTTGAGGATAAACTGAGAGATGAAGAGCCGAAAAACTGAGAAGAAAATGGAAGTTTTCTGGCATTCGTTTTATTCAAATCGGAAATCGAAATTGGAATGTTGGAAGCACAAAGTGATGAAGAAGCCATTATTCAAATCGAAAAGAGCTGAGCAGAAGAGGAGAAGGAGAAACGAGTGAGAATAAGTTCACCGACGAGAGGATGACAAACGTAATCCAAACAATGCTCCCAAAACGGTGTCGTAAATGCTACCATGCGTTGCGAACTGAATTAGAAGTGGCTGCAGCAGATCCAAAAGAAGTCCGAGTGATGGCAATATTTCCTTTTGGGCTCTATGTTTGATGAAAGCCCAACAAACATTTCCCAATTATGTGTTCATTTAAAGCAAATGAAAAGATTTTGTTGAAGGAGATTTTAGGGAAACGAAAGGTATGTAGTGTAAAACTAAAATAAATTTGCTATTGTCTTGTCTCCTACACGGCGTTTGGAAGCTAAATTATAGGTTTGAGTATATATAAATGGGTCGGGTAGGGTGCAGGTTTTAGCAAATCCAAACCCCACTTGCATATATTTTGCCTTACTTGAATCCGATCAGTTACCCGTTTAACCGTGATTTTACCTCGATGGTTAAACGGGTAACTTGAATTCTTAAACATTAGTTTTCACCCAATCCCGACTCGATTTAACCTATTTCAAGTGTAGAAAAATTAAAATTATTTCATAATTAATTATAATATAACTAACAAAATATTAACTATGTATTGATGGTTGATTGCCAATTAGAAAATACAAGACTGAATGGGGTGGTAAATAAGGCGCACGCACGACCGATTGCTTGGTGGATCGGTAAAGGGAAATCTTTATTATGAGTGTAGTTTTTTTAGTGGATGAATTGTGTGCGTTGTATAAGGAACTCAACGCCACATTATACACGAGAACAGTAAAATACAATGATGATAACGTGTCACTTTAGGAGCTAGGTGGGTGACACATGTTGACATGCAAAAATTCGACTTTTAAGGATGGGATAGGCATTTCGTTTTTTTATGATGAAACTGGTTGGACGGTCGTTTTACCAGTTTCTTTGTAAGAGACTGTTCATACGTTGCAGAAAGATCGACAACAAGCTTCTACTAATGGATCGGGTTTATTTTGCTGGAGAGATCGACGGAATGTGAATAATGTATTCCTTGGGTCAGTTTTGCCGAACTCAGTTAGATTTGGGCCAACTAGAAGTTTCCGTGTAACTTGGAATTGCAACCTAAACAAGATGATATTTTGATGAGTTGAATATATGTAATTCATATT